TGACTGACCATATACCATATAGACGACATATCGCTTCTCCGTCAACTTGCATCAGCCACGAGGTTCATATATGCGTACCGATCGAGTTGAGTATCCTGAAAGCGTTCTAACACTTTGGGAGTTTTTCTAAGGTCATCGTTAGTTCTGTTGTCTTGAAGGAGGGAAGAACGGGAAACATACTACTGGAGCAGTTATTATCCGTGAAATATCCATTGACATAACATGTAGTCCCGTACAGGGTTACTCGATCCCAGGTACTGCAGTTCTTAGCTTCCTTCCTCTGTTCCTTTGCCTCATTCCCCCCCCTTTTTTTCTCTCTCTTTCTCTGGAACTTACCAATTACCCTTCACACATTGCCCTTTCTTTTTGCAGGAGAAGATAAGTTTGTCGCCCCTGCTGAATGCAAAGATATTTCCCGCCTTCGTGGTCGCCCCGTATCGACAGTTAACGTACTGGCCTTTGTTGAGATTGACAATCTTGCAGGTTTGCGCCGATTTGCGTTTCTCTAGATGCATTTCAGGCTCTGCCACAGGCTCTGCGACGGGGACAGCTGTGGAGAGAAACGGGAGGTACCAGAGTAAAGTGACGAAGAGGCTGAAGAAGTCCATTTTTGTGTGAGAAATTGGGTATAAACGTTGAGAGAGAGTGTGTGTTTTTTGATAAATGGCATTTTGTAGATGGACCCTCTATCGAGATGCCGTTCACTTTTATATACATTGGAGTGGACACCACAGGAGTCTTCATCTCGTATTTTAGCATTGCCCGTCCCGTGTTGTTCTGGAGATTGCTGAGTCGCGCCGAGTCGTTCATCGGATGTTCCATCTCGTATCTGAGTCCCAATTTAGACCTCGTAATTTCATTATTGGAAGGATTTCTTGCTTTCTTTGAAACGGCGCATCAGAAAATTCTGACCTGAGGCCAGTTATCACAGTGATATCCTTTCGACAGGGTTGAAAGGCGAGGGTGGGTAGTCTCAACACATTCACGACGATTGAATCTTATGAGCTGTGTTCAGCATAGGCGATACAGCGAACAGCTGCAATTCTTTTTCTGAACTGACTGATGAATAAAACGGAACCTTTTGTTTGAGCGCGTCTGGACACCTAACCGCGATACTTTCTCCAAGATAAAACTGACTTCGGGATGCTTGCTAGTGGATCATTCCTTTGTTCCCCACAGCCTCAGGGCGATGCCATCATTCCTGGTCAACAGGGGATTTGGCAATAAACATTCACTAACCTTCGCCTGTTTCTAACCTGGATGTCCGTTCAATACCATCTCAGGAAGTACACGAACAAAGTCTACCACGCACCCAGATGACCGCCAATGTGCGGGACAAGCGATGGCATAGATACCCATCCCCATGGGAAAACCGCTGGCATCGCACCGAGTGTCATATATACTCACCAAAAATCGTGTTTTGAAGCGTGTGGACAAGTAGCTCTCACGGGACAGAAGAAGGTACCTTTTTGGAGTTATTCATGGTGAATCAAGGTGCAAAAGCAAAGCGGAATCTCTGAGGGATACTTGTTTGAGATATTTTTGAACTCAAGGGGAGTCTCTTTCTTGCGCTGGGCTTGGGAATGTCAACGCGAAGCTCCCCATGTTTGTTTCGAGTGTGCTTCTCCAACGTATCCGAAAATTCTGTGATTACCTTGCCAAGATATGCTATTTGAGGAGGCAATCGTTGTAGATGTTCTGTCCATCAGTCCACGTAATTTGTCTCTATATATCTACGCAGGATGAAGAGTATATAATCATAGAAAAAGAATTCCACATTTTATACGAAAGATGATATAAGAAGCATGAAAATTACGATGGGTTTTTTCTAAAAATAAAGTGTTCTCTTGATCAATGGTGGCTAGGGTACAGATTTAGCATTTCCGTCCTTATAAAGGGGAGTGTTAAACTGGCTTCTCATTCTGAGAGATTCTGGCATTGAAACCCTAAGTTCTTGTTTTCATTCCCACCAGGGAAAAAGAAGCAAAAGAAATTAAGGGTGGATGGGGTTCTATCTCCTTGTTTTGCTCAAGGATTCGATGATCCCCCATTGGCTTGATACTAAGGTTTGAAGCCGCTACTTGTGGCAGATGGCCAGACGGGACGAGGAGAGAAAGCAAATCATTGAGTTGCGGAGAATAGCATCGGCAATCTCTAGCTGGGCGGTCCTTGTTCCTGCAGATAAGCACAACTATGCTAGACAGCAAAGGGAAGAAGGTCACAAGTTAGAGCTCTGAGTAGGCGTGGAAAAAAAAAAAAAAAAGGTTCGCCCACACTAGAGATTAAAGCCAGTCCTCACAGAAGTGGTTATGGTTCTTCATGCTGATTTGATGACCAAGTTTTAGGCCCCAAACCTCTAAACCTACCCCCAACCGTTTAAGGGCGTGTAAGATGCTCACCATCCACACCTCCGTACTGTTCTTCCTGCCAAACTAACTCCCTAAACCGTTCTTAAACGTGGCAATAGGTGGAGTGAGGCGATCATAGCTGTCTGTCTGTAGGAAGGTAGACGGTCAGACAAATCTTGAAATTTGCCCCTCCTCTGTCAGCACAGATGCTCTGGAACACTCGAACAAATGTCCAAGGGGCGAACTTGAAATAGTCACCTGTCTCTGCACCGCCACACCTGTCACAATCCTAAGGCTGACAATGCATGACATTGGTTGCCGGAGGGCTGAAAGTAGGTTTAGAGTACTCCGTAGGTCTGGCGTCGTTGCATGGACAAACTCATCACCGTCATTGATTGAGGGAAATCTGAGACCTAGCCAACGGATCGACGATGTAGGGTCAGAGCTTTTTTTTTGCGAAAGTGTCGTCATAGTCAGCATCTTTGCCCTGATATCGAAAATCCATCTCCCAGTTGTGGGTGGAAGACTGTCCACTTATGAGAAAGCGAACTCGACAAATTACAGATCGGATTGGCCAAATCCATGGTTTTGGGTCTAAACCATGGAAGGAAAGGAGATCTCGGTATCCATGGTCCTCCATTTTGGCCCGTGAGAGTTTTTCCATGGTCCTGTCGAGGATTGAATTTTCGTTTATGTATTTCCATCTGTAAAGGAGCAGGGAAATAGCCTTCAACTTATAAAACATATCTGGCCGGCACATAATAAGACGAATACAATCACAAGTACCCTGGATGGGTGCGTGTGTGGAACTCCGGCCTGACAAAACATTGTCGGTACTTTGAGTGATTTGAATGGATTACGTCGTTGGCAGGAGCAGCCGCAGGGATTAGCCGCGGCTTTGCTCAGCCTCATCACCACCACAACCACCATCATCGTCCGTCCATCGCCCAAAAGCTCACCTTCACGCACATTAGTGACATTACACGGACCCCCAACTAGCCTGCGAAGTCCGAATATTACCCCCAATCTCACCCCCACCACTTCTCGTTTGCCCCTGATTTCTATCCCCGTCAACTATAGTGCGTGTGTGCGTTTTCCCACACCTCTGCCTTGTGCTCCCTCTGTCCTTCTCCTCCGGCACACCTACAAACATTAAGCAAACGGTATTTACTGCTGCAAACGAATTTGCACATATATCCACATACAATAAACCTTTGGTTTCCCGTTTTAATAGCCTTTCCGGCGCCGTGGATCGCGGGGGGAGGTCCCGCGTTCCTGTTGTACTCCCAGTCTCAATTCATCATCATGGATACTTTACATCTCCGTCGCAAGGATACCACCAGAGGTCCCCCACTACGGGTTCTATCACTAGGTATGCTGGTCTCCTGACGACCTACAATGTGTATCCAAATTATGCCAAATGGCTCTGCCGGAGAAACCAATTTACTTACAATGAAATCTTCTTGTGTGAAACATATGTAGATGGTGGTGGCGTCCGCGGATACTCAATGCTCATCCTCCTCCAAGAACTCATGCACCGCACCTACGTCGAATGCGAGGGCAAAGCCCCCTCGCGTAACCAAATCCCGAAGCCATGCGACCATTTCGACCTCATTGCCGGCACTGGCACGGGAGGACTCATTGCGCTCATGCTTGGTCGGTTACGACTGGATCTAGAGACGTGCAAGGATGTATACGTGCGCATGACCAGGCGGGTCTTCGAGACCGATAAGACCATTGCCGGCATTCCCTATCGGTCAACTCTCTTCAAGGCCTCAAAGCTGGAAGAGGCCATCCGCCAGTGCGTATGGGAACATACTGTTGCTGCAGACGAGGGAAATGATGGCTCGCCCATGCCTGCAAAGCCCATCTCTCTGCATGGCCCGGTACCGCGCCCGCAGTCCTCTCACACGCTGCAGAGACGGACAAGTCGGTCGAGTAATCCGATTGGTGCATCGCCAGTTCGGTCGCCCGTGAGTTCGCGCGGGTCTCTGGGAACCTATGGGCCGAGCTGGGGGAATGCTGATGCAATGCTCTATGATAAGAGGGAAAATAGGACGAAGACGTTGGTTTCCTTTCTTCCTCCATTCTTTCGTTTTTAATTTCTTTCTTTCTTTTTATTTCTCATTTTTGCTCTGTATATATTTATATATGTGTCTATAAATCTCTGACGTTCCATCAGCGCGGTCGTGGCAGTCTACAAGGGGACCCCGATGAACGGAACTCCAACTTTGCTACGATCATACGATTCGCGAAAGGAGCCTCCACCGGAATTCAACTGTACAATCTGGCAAGCTGGGCGGGCTACATGCGCAACAGGGCTGGCCTTCAAACCTATCCTAGTAGGACAACATGTTTTCATTGACGAGGGTGCTGGTAAATATAATCCCGCACCGATGATTCTCGATGAAGCTGCTGTGAATGAATGGCCAGGAAGAGAAGTAGGTCTTTTCGTCAGCGTTGGAACAGGCAAAAGGCCTCCCGGAACGAGTCATATCCAACACGAGTGGTGGGAGGATGTTTTTGCTGAGTCCCTGGGCAATTTCGCTGAGGCCCGAAGACGTCTGATTGCGAAAATCGAAGGCTGCGAAAAGACTCACCAATACATGGTGAAAGAACATCTCAGAAAACGCAACGTCCCGCTAGAAAATTACGTCCGTCTCAACGTTGAAGTTGGCGTGGGCGAGTTTGGTATGAATGAATGGAATCGCTTGGCGGAAATTAGTACAAGCACTCGGAATTATCTCTCCCGGAGCGATGTGCAGAAGATGAACCAGGATGTAGCTGCCAAGTTGGCCAAGATCCATTTTATTCATCGTAGGCTGGCAGCGGGCAATGGAGGAATGGACTGGCCTGCTGATTCCAACAGTTTTGAAGAAGGCTTAGAGGACGGGGACGTATTCCAACGGCAGTACCACCGACGGGTTCCACCTATCCCGATATCCCTCTCCTCACCGCAAACGATCCCGCCCCGCTCTTCACAGCCATCCGCTATTGAATTCCCAGACGCAGTCGAACTCCCCGGTGAAGACTTTATCCCGTTTTCGTCCGCGAATAATACGTTTAATTCCAACCCTCCACGTTTCCCAACTTCCAGCTACTCACAAATCCCGAGCGCAATCTCACCAGAAAATTACACTGTCCTCACATCCGATGATCACCCGCAACCCCTCAACTTCAGCCGCAAGACCTCGATCCCGATCCCAGCCCCATCCTCACCTAGCCACAATCAATCATCCCCCTTTACCTCTCAAACCCGTCTAAACAACAACGATAAACAAAACCAACAAAGCATCAATAGCCGCCCACAAAGCAGTTACAACAATCCCTCCTCCTCTTCTCCCCGCATCAGCTCTGAAATGTTCACAAACCCCCTCCCACAGGCATTAACGACCCGCCCACAAAGCAGCCACCAGAACCTGAACCATAATCACGTCTCCGTCCTCCACTCCCACACGCCGCCCCTCAGCCCGCCACCAAGCCATCCACCACCTCCACCACCGCTACCTCCTAAAACCCCCATACCGTACCCCGAAAATGGCTATGGACTCAGTCCCCCTTCCGGCACTGATCCTGGTACTGGTGCTGGCTCGCATGGCTATGCACCGGCGGTCATGCCGATCCCGCCGCGGGCACCGAATAGGCCGAATAGC